GCATATAAAGTATATGTATAGAGTATATGAAATTGTGTGGGGGTAGTAGGGGGTGCAGGTGGGTGTAGGGATCTAAGTACAATAAAAATATATGAAATTCACAAAAGTTCAAAAAGAAAGGAAATTAAAAAGAAACCATAGTAACTAACTGGTTCTAAATAAAATGTATGGATGTGAAGAAAAATGATATACCTATCCATTACATAGTCATAATGATATCATGATTGCTGCTGTTTCAACTGCTAGTGTTTGCTATTTGTTCTTCTTGCTACTACCTACCAGATAGGTAGATATAAGATGTCAGCAAAGAAAAGTATTGAACAGAAAATTATATTAAAGTGACACTTACAGAAAGCAGTATTTGGACAGCACTGTGAATGACCTCTAGGTATTGGAAGTCGACAACACAGCCTGTGACCGAGACATATGTGTAATCATCCACCATGCCATGGGCTGATGGGGGCAGCACTCTCCGGACACAGCCAGGCCCATGTTCTCTCCACCATGACCGATGTACAGAGATGTTGAATGTCATCAGATCCGTATCCTATGTGCCAGAAGACAAAGAGAGAAAAAAAAAAACAATGTTATTTTGTTGTACCCTTGACTTTGACATTGAAGAGTTCAAGATAGGTGGAAGTGCTAACAAGATTTCAACCTCAAACGAAAGAGAACAAAAGCCAAAGCCAAAAAATCTGTGTGTATCATATACCCCACTATTGAGTCAATTATTCAACAGAGATACAGTTCTTTGAAGAGCATTAACATTATAAGGTTAGTTCACAGTGAAAGTCCAGGGGGAGATTGTTCATATATGTTCATTTTAAATTATTTTCTTATTTAGAAATATTTTTGCTACCCTTTTCTGTTGTGATATAGTCATTAAAATCAGCATCATAGTAGCTCCTGCAGATACCAAAATGTGTGTATGAGCATCTCTTGTGTAAAAATGCTGTAATATTTGCATATAACCTGCAAAAGTCCTCCCATACATTTAAATTACCTCCAGATTACTTATAATATAATGTCTAATAAAATGTAACTACCATGTAAATAGTTATCATACTATATTGTTTAGTAAATAATGAGAAAGAATTTGTACATGTTCTGTAGAGACAATTTTTCTCTTCCTTTACTATTTTCATGCATTGATTGATTGATTGCATGCACATGAAACCCCCAGCTATGGAAGTCTGACTACCTAGTCTTTAATACTCATATAGGTATATTTATTAACTAAATTTTAGTTCAACAAATAGTTATCCCCTGTAAAAGATACTTTTGTCCAATTCCTGGACTCTGTGGACTTTAGTTTTTATAAAAAGACTGCAGATATGATTCAGTTAGGGTCAGGGATTAGGAGATTATGATGAAATATCTGGGTTGGCCCAGTCTTCAATCACAGGTACTATCTCCCTCCCTGCTCCTCTCCCTCCTTCCTTTTCGACATCATCTCCTAGCACAGGCTGACCTCAAGCTTGTTATGCTGCCAGGAATCTCCTTGAATTCCCGCCCATTCTACCTCCACCTCCTGAGTGCTGGGATTACAGGCATGCCTTACCACATCTGGCTGAGTCACATGTAATATAAGGGAAGTAGAGGGAGATGGGACACACGAAGAGAGGGAAAGAAAATGTGATAATAGAGGAAGAGATTGGGGTGGTGCAGGCCACAGTCAAGAAATACTGTTGGCTACCTAAAGAGGAGACGATGAAGGAGTCTTCTCCAGAGTCAGACAGTGTACAGCCCTGCCAGCACCTCACATTCAGTTAAAGAAAACTCAGTTCGGAATTTACCCCAGAACTGTGGGAGATGAAATTTCTGTTGTTTACACCATCAAATTTGTGATAAATTATTGCACCTGCCATAAGAAAATAACACAGGCAAACACTAAGTCATAGAGAGGTAAATTAATTGACCCAAGGTAGTTCAGCTTGCTGGTGGTGGAGTGAGAACTTGGCCCTGTGGCACCTACTTTTAGATGATGGCGATTTCTCTCACCAAACCTCTTACTATGCTTCACATCCTGAATGGATGGGCTAAGCTTCCTTCCCTTCCTTTGGTGTTTCCACAAATACCTCAACAATCAATTCAGTGGACAAAAAAGTCACTCTTAAACTTCATAAAATTTTTATTTATTATTTTTATGTATATGAGTGTTCTGCCTGCATGTACATAAGAGCACCATGCGTGGAATACCCCGCAGAGGCCAGAAGATGTCAAATCCCCTGGAACTGGAGTTACAGATGGTTGGTAGCCACTCTGTGGGTACTAGGACCTGGGTCCTCTGGAAGAACAGCAAGTGTTCTTACCTGCTGAGTCACCTTTCAAGTCCCCAGTCCCTTTATCAAAATTTATCAGAGTTCTTAGTGGAAACAACAGCTTGGGATTTTTTATCTTTAGGAAATGACTTTTGGTGTAGGCTGAGCATGTCTAATATAAAAATCAGCCTGTAACTTTTGAATGCCGACAGGCTGTAGAAATGGAACGTTCCACCCTGACCTCATGTGACAGGTTTCAGTGAAAGTGCAAGTGCATTAAAAATATTATTTGGGACAGGCTGTTTTCCGGGCAGTCGGGGGCACAGGTGCAACTCAGATACTGGAACCTGGGAATTAACAAAACAAACAACCATGAGCCCTGAAGCAGCTGTTGCTGTCATGTCCAGAGGATGCGGCCTAGTGAGGCCAGTAAGCCTACCTGGCAGCCTGCTGTGTTGCTACCCTGAATAAAACGAGTACCCTCTCCACAGATGCTTACAAATTAAGATGGAGATTTCATTGACCAACCTGGATGCTAGCAAGCTAGAGGTCATAGCTCAGATCTTTGTAGACCTAATGGAGGATTCTTGTCTGGGATTCTGCTCTGAGGTACACTGCACCATCAAGTGTGGCTACTTCTGCCTGGAATTCACAGTGATCGGGAATGCGAAGGATTCTGGCAGGCAGCCAGTGGAAGACAGAGGAGCCTGGGCCTCCAGCCTTTCTCCTTTCCTGGAGAACCTGGGAGTGGACCTGAGCAACAGCTGTAGCCCTCACCTCCAGAATTCTAGTCACCTCTACATGAAAGAGGCTGTGACAGTGACAATAGTACAGGCTGGTCCCTGTGGCTGGAGAAGTGAGAAGTGTTGAGAATTTTTGCATCTATGTTCATTAAGGATATGGGTCTATAGTTTTCTTTTTGGGTTGTATCTTTACCTGGCTTTGGTATTAGAGTGATGCTGGCTTCATAGAAGGAATTTGGAAGTTCTCCCTCCATTTCTATCTTTTTGAATAAATTAAGTAGTATTGGATGTAGATCTTCTTTAAATGTCTGATAGAATTCTGCTGTAAATCTATCTGGTCCTGGAGTTTTTTAAGTTGGGAGGTTTTGTATTACTATTTGAATTTCTTTTTGTGTTATAGGTCTGTTTAAGCTGCTAATCTCTTCTTGGTTTAGTTTTGGTGGTTCCCATGCCTTTAGATATCTGTCCATTTCTTTTAGGTTTTCAAATTTAGTAGCATATATGTTTTTAAAGTATTCCCTTATAATGTTCTGGATCTCTTTGGTGTCTGTTGTGATGTTTCCCCTTTTACCTCTGATTTTGTTGATTTGGAGGTGCTCTTTCTTTCTTTTGGTTAACTGGGCTAGCAGTCTGTCAATCTTGTTTATCTTTTCAAAGAACCAGCTCTTGGAGTTGTTGATTCTTTGTATTGTTTTCTTTGTTTCAATTTCATTAACATCTGCCCTGATTTTAGTTATTTCTTCTTGTCTGCTGGGTTTGTGTTTCGTTTGCTGTTGCTTTTCAAGTGTGTTGAGTTGCAATGTTAAGTCATTTATTTGTGTTCTTTCGGATTTTTTGATGTAGGCACTTAGAGCTATAAACTTCCCTCTAAGGACGGCTTTCAGCGTGTCCCAGAGGTTTTGTTGTGTTGTATTGTCCTTTTCATTTAATTCCAGGAATACTTTTATTTCTTTCCTAATTTCTCTTTTGACCCACTCATCATTCAGGTGTATGTTATTTAACCTCCATGTGTTCATGTGGTGATTAGGGCTTCTTTGGGTGTTAATTGTAAGCTTTATTGCATTGTGGTCTGATAGAATGCATGGAATTATTTCAATCTTTTTGTATTTGTTGAGGATTGTTTTGTACCCCAGTATATGATCAATTTTGGAGATGGTTCCATGGGGTGCTGAGTAGAAAGTATGTCCTTTGGTGCTTGGATTGAATGCATGGTAGATGTCTTTTAAGTCCATTTGATATATGGTATTGTTTAATTCAGATGACTCTCTGTTAACTCTCTGCCCTGTTGACCAATCTAATGGAGACAGTGGGGTATTAAAGTCCCCTACTATTAATGTGTTGGGATTAATCTGGTTCTTAAAGTCCCGTAGTATTGTTTTTATGAAGTTGGGTGCATCAGAGTTTGGTGAATATATGTTCATGATTGTAATATCTTCTTGATTCATTGTTCCTTTGATCAGAATGAATTGGCCCTCTTTTACTCTTTTGATTAGTTTTAGTTTAAAGTCTATTTTGTCAGATGTTAGAATTGCAATGCTTGCTTTTTTCTTAGTACCTTTTGCTTGGTATATTTTTTCCATCCTTTCACTTTAAGATAGTTTCTGTCCTTGAAAGTGAGATGAGTTTCTTGCAGACAACAAAAAGATGGATTTTTTTTCTTAATCCATTCACCTAGTCGGTGTCTTTTGACTCGGGAGTTCAGTCCATTAATATTTAAAGTTATTAATGAAAGATGATTATTGAATCCTGTCATTTTTATTTCTGTTTACATTCGGGATATAGTTGTACTTTTCCACAGTTATACCTTCATAGAATTTTTTTCAGAAACCCCTTGGGTATAGTCATTCCTTTCTTCAGCTCTTTGTATTGCTTCAGAACTCTATGAAGGGCTTGTTTTGTGGACATGAAATCCTTCAGCCTATTTATGTCATGGAAGATTTTTCTTTCCCCTTTGACTATAATAGACATTTTGACTGGGTATAGTAATCTGGGTTGGCATCTGTCTTCATTGAGAACTGGGAATGCTTTGGTCCAGGCTCTTTTGGCTTTCATAGTTTGCCCTGAAAAGTCATCTGTAATTCTAATGGGTTTTCCTTTATATGTGACTTGCTGTTTCTCTTTTGCAGCTTTCAGTATTATCTCTTTGTTCTGTATGTTTAGTGTTTTTACTGTGATGTGCTGTGGAGAGTTTCTTTTCTGGTCCTGTCTGTTTGGTGTTCTATATGCTTCTTGTATTTGTATGGGCATGTCTTTCTTTAATTTTGGAAATTTTCTTCCACGATTCTGTTGAGGATCTGGTCCATGCCATTATCTTGGGATTCTTCTCCTTCCTGTATGCCTGTGATTCATAAGTTTGGTCTTTTTATGGTGTCACACAATTCTTGCATATTCCATTCTTATAATTTCTTAAATTTTTTGTAATCTTTGCTTGAGTGGTCTAGTTCAACTATTTTATCTTCCAGTCTTGATACTCTGTTTTCCATTTCATTCATCCTATTGGTGCGGCTTTCTCCCGTCATTTCTAATTGGCTTACACTTCCTTC